CCAGGACTGATCCCAGGGTGAGCTCTGAGGGACCCTGAAAGGTTTGCTTGCTTCAAAGCATTCCTTGGAGCTTTTCTGTAGTCAAACTGCATTTAGGTACCCATTGTGTTACTTGGGAGATATGATACAGTCATTAATCGATCGTTTAACTGCAAATCTACCCCTGCTTAAACTATACCTATTTTGGCTCTCCACTGCCCATGTGTAAGGTCCTCAATATTTAGCTTGGTAAAGGACACCCATCATCTGCCCATCGTCAGCCGCTCTGCAGCTGTCTCTCTCCCTTTCCCCCACCTCATACCCCTTATGCTCTATCCACACACAACTACACTCAATACCAAATGATATTTATGTCCTTCTTGCTTTTCCTGCCTCCTCTGCTCGCAATGTCCCTTCCTCCCTTGTCGACTCACAAACCTCTCATCTGTCAAGATTCAGCCTAGCTCACCTTTGTCAACCTTTCCCTAAGCCCACTCAAGGCAGGAATAACCACTCTCTTTTGGTCAGCCTCATGCCCATACATACTTCAATTACACCATCTAGAATACTTTACAACACTTGTGTCCATTGTGTCTGTATTCCCTACTGGACTATAGACTCCTCAGGGCTGGGGCTATATGAAATGGATGCTTGTGTCTGACCTAGAGTAGTTGATTTAAAATAGTTGTTGGATGGATGCACTGGTAAACGCATAAGGGCCAGTGTGTATCTGTTAATCTTCACGGTTCTGGTAATACAAGGATGAAAGCCCTTTCCCTGCCCTCAAAGAGCTCACTGTAGATGACAGAAAAAGGGAACAAAGGACAATGAAAGGGCATTAAGTCAGGGCACAGCATGAGAGCCCAGCTGTGGGTGTTATGAGCTCAGTTATGGGTCAGCCAGTCCAGTCTCTCCAGGGGAGTCAGCCACACAGGGGAGGGAGGAACGCTTTAGACAGAGAGATTCTCAGGTCCAAAGCAATGTGTGTGTGTGCGCAGCAGAAGTGCGCAAATGGCTCCATCTCCACAGAGCTGGAATAAAGGAGAAATGTGGGGGGGAAGGCAATGATACAGCTAAACAGGCAGGGAGGACCAGTCACACGGGGCCGCAACCCCACTAGGGAATCTGGAGTTGCTCCTAAAGAAAAATGGAAAGCTTCTAAGAAAAAGAGAGAACATGGTAGGATTTGCAAATATAAAGAGCCCCCCAGGATCAGTGTGGGGCCAGGCCTTGAGGCCAAGATGGAGATTAAAATAAGATCTAGCAGAGAACTGATGAGGGCTGGTCCAAGGTAGGGCAGTCAGGATGAAAAGGGTATTCAGACCAGATGGGTGCAGAGGAGGCAAAGTTTGTTAGAGTTTGGACGGTCTGCATAAACAAAAGCAGGAAGTTAGGGGGAAGTAGCAACACACATGCCTACAGGTTTCTGTGCAGTTGACATGGCAGATGATGGTACTCCTGGGAGAACACACATTTATGGAAGAGAGGAGGGTGGCTCCGATTCTGTTCACACTGGAGCTGACATGCCTTAGGACCCCCAGGTGAGTCTTCTCAGCAGGCAGTGAGCTATCCAATGAGGTTCAGGAGAGAAGTCTGGACAAGAAAAATAAATGCGGCACTCGTCGGCAAACAGGCGATAGCCGGAGCCACATGGGCAGATGAACTCTTTCAAGGAGGATGTACACAGAATAAGGGGAGCAGGGCCCAGGATATACCTCATGAGTGGGCAAAATTCTTGAGAAAGAGTCTGAGACAGAATACCCAGAGATACAGGAAGAATAAAAATAAGAGCAAGCTGCAAATGACTTCTCAAAGCAGAGAGCTTCAAGAGAGGACAGTTACCTGTGTGGTCAAGTTCTGCACACAGAAATCATGAAAGTCATGAAAAAGCCTGGAAAATGTTCATTTGTGGCCAAGCTTTCCCAGCCCTCATCAGCCTGTGGGTACACGGGAAGCCACACTCATAGAACCAGCCACAATTTCACACACAGCACTAGCATGTTGCCAGCCATCTGCATTAGGAGGACCTCTGCTTCTGGAATAAAAGTTCTCGCTTCCCATTATTTCTGGGAGTGTCTGGGAGTGTGGCGGCCAAGCCCAAGAAGCATAGCCATGTGCTCTTCTACACACACCGCCTCTTGATGTCCACAGCACATGAGGACAGGGCCTCCCCACAGCGCTCCCCTGAGACGCCCCTAAGGTCCACAGGTTCCATCTCTTCACGTGCCAAAGCTACACACCTTCATGATGCCAATGCACACAATATTCTGTGCTCTCGTTCCCTGAGCTGAAGCCACAGCACTTGCTGAGGAATGAAGGGGACACCCACTCTTTGCCATCTGTTTGTGTTCCATGTCTCCCGGAGTTCCTCATGAAATGCCTTCTTCAGCTGGGTGACCATCTGTCCTAAGACTTGAGACACCAGCTCCGGGGTCTGAGCTATGGAGCAGATGACAGAGTCCCTCCTCCTCCCCTCCACCCCACCCCCGCTCCCACCCATAGTCTCTGCCCTAGGGACCCTGTGACCACAGATCTTTGGGAAGATCACTCTACCAGTTAACAAAAATTCCACACCCACATTTTTTAGTTAGTCGGTCAGGACACCTGGCTACATAGGGATTTATTTAGCAGAGGAGTTTCAGCAGTCATGGTTGATAAGGAGGTCAGATTGCAACGACATGAGGAAAGAGTGGGAGGTGGGGAAATTACAGACAGTAAACATAACAGCAAGTTTCGTACTACTTGGGTGTTGAGAAAGGGTGGAGGCAGGAGAGTAGGGTCAAAGGAGATGAAAGGTGGTGGTGGTGGTGGTTTTTAACAAGGAGGGACTTGAACAGAATCACGCGCTGGTGAACAGAGCCAGCAGCGAGGGCCAGGTGAACCCCAGACACTGAGAAGACACAGGCTCTGCTGATGGACCTTGGGCCCAGGGAACAGAAGGCTGCTGCCCTGAGTTCCCTGAAGAGACCCGGGGCCTGGGGGAGGAGGGAGGCCACTGGAGTGGGAGCCAAAGGAAGGGGACAAACCAAGGTGACTGACTCTGGCCTCTGCCCCATGCTTATTTAGGAGGGGAGTGAAGGGCTGGGCTGGGAGGTCTCAAGTGGGACAAGTTGCCTCAGGCCTCTGGCCCCTAAGCACATTCTTTTTGTTGACAGAGATCTCACTTATCAGCCCCCTGTCTGTGACTCAATATCTGGGTTTCTCATTTTGCCATTTAATTTTAGTAATAACTAGAGCTGCTTCTGGGAGTCCAGCTTCTTCCCTCTGTCAATCACATGATGTTGGGGATTCCACTAACAAAATAATCAGTGGAGGTGTCCAACGCAGGCCCCAGCCCCACCTCTCAGAAAGCGTTTCAGTGTAAACCTTCCTAGGGGCGCCTGGGTGGCTCAGTCAGTTGAGCATCTGACTTCACCAACATCAGGCTCAGGCTCATTGAAGCTGACAGAGCCTGCTTCCCATGTTCTGTCCCCTCTTTCTGCCCCTTCCCCACTTGTGCTCGTCCAAAAACAAGTAAATTTTTTTTTTTAATTTTTTTTTGGGGGCGCCTGGGTGGCTTAGTCGGTTAAGCGTCCGACTTTCGCTTAGGTCATGATCTCGCGGTTCGTGGGTTCGAGCCCTGCGTCGGGCTCTGTGCTGACTGTCAGCTCAGAGCCTGGAGCCTGTTTCAGAGTCTGTGACTCCCTCTCTCTCTGACCCTCCCCTGCTCATGCTGTCTCTCTCTCTCTCCTAGAAATAAATAAAACATTAAAAAAATTAAAAAAATAAATAATTTTTTTTCTAGAAATAAATAAAACATTAAAAAAAATTAAAAAAAATAAATAATTTTTTTTTTCTAGGAGAGAGAGAGAGACAGCATGAGCAGGGGAGGGTCAGAGAGAGAGGGAGTCACAGACTCTGAAACAGGCTCCAGGCTCTGGGCTGACAGTCAGCACAGAGCCCGACGCAGGGCTCGAACCCACGAACCGCGAGATCATGACCTAAGCGAAAGTCGGACGCTTAACCAGTGACTAAGCCACCCAGCCGCCCCAACAAGTAAATATTTTAAAAAATAAATAAAATAAAATAATAAATAAATAACTTACTTCCTGGGGGAAAAGATGATTCACTTTTAAAGGCAGTTTTTCTTTGATTTATGTATTTAACCTACTATACACAGAGGGGTCAGAAATGAACCTAGGACAGAAGACTCCGCTCCCCCCACTAGTGACTGTGGGGAGTGCAGAGAAGAACATCATGTCTTCTAGTCCTACAGCCCCTGCTTCATACCTTACAGTGCTCCAGGGAAAGGTGGTAGGAAGTGTCACAAACAGAGGGTTAAACAGAGAAATTCACAAACGGAAATGCTTCTGGAGGACAAGAAGCAGGTGTCCCGAAGAGAGAAACTAGCAAACAAGAGTCAATGTCTGCCCTTGGAGACGGAACACGGCTACTCATCCCAGCTTCTGCCACAAGTCACTGAGTCCTGACTTTTCAGAGAGAGGTTGCAAGTCTAGAGTCTTGAGTGAAATCTGGATTTTTATGTTGTTGGGAACTAAAAACCATCAACCAGACAAAGCAAAATGCCCAGGGAGCAACCTCAAGAAGGACGCAATTCACAATTTCAGTTTCACTCCCTCTAAAGTGATTTCACTGTGGTCTGTTTCATGAATCATTTGTTTCCGTGTGAGTTTTTGCGTCTCTGGGAGGGAAAACAAAGATTTGACTCCAAGGAGTCACTGCTGGCTCAGCCCCCTCCCTGGGGCTGGTCTGCATACTTGATATGCTTTCCCAAAGGATAATTTGACTATGCTCTCTACCAAAGGGCAGGTGCTCCTGAAAAAGCTGAGGACAACACTGCCACCCTGGGTACAGTCCTTGATGAAACAGAAATATGCCTTCTCCTCGGCATCTCTAGCTGATGAATCATACGAGACTGACATGACATTGGACCTGTCCCTTTAAAAATCCAGCACGCTACCAGGCAAACTCCTCCTCCAGGGAGGTTCCTTTAAATAAGAGCCAGCTGGCCGGGCCACCGGTTTACACTCAGAGCAATACCTGCAATTGAGGTTTCCTCCCCAGGAGGCAGCTGCGTGTCAGTATGGCCGAAGAGTTTGTGAACTGCAGAATCCAGCCTGGGAAGGTGGTGGTGTTCATCAAGCCCTCCTGCCCCTACTGCAAGAGGACCCAGGAGCTGCTCAGCCAACTGCCCTTCAAACAAGGGGTTTTGGAATTTGTCGATATCACAGCCACCAGTGACACTAGCAAGATTCAAGACTATTTGCAACAGCTCACAGGAGCCAGAACAGTGAGTGCTCAAAGGCTGGGCAAAAGCTCTCAGATTCCTTTATCTTGTGGGGGCTGTGCACAGGATATGCCCGCCTGTGCCTTTCTCTAGGATACCGCTAGGGCTCCGTCACTCAGTCGTCACTGAAGGCGGGAGGGCTCTGCGGGGTGGGGGAGGGCACCTGAGAGAAGACACTGCTCCGAGGAACAGGCAACTGGGCTGCAGCCAAAGGTCCTCGCAGACCCTGTGCCCAGCAGTTGTGTGGGGGGTCGTTGAGCTATCGGGAGTCTTTGTTTCAAGCACTGCCGGGGAAATGACAGTTTTCAGCTTGCAGGGCTGGGGCTGGAAGGTGGAGTGGAGGTTCTGAGTGTGATCTGTATGGTTCTGTTATCGAACATGGGAATTGTGTGCACTCTTTCTTCTGTGTTCACTTGGCCAGGTGGGATTTGCTGTCCTTCAATCTTTTCTCTAAGCTTTCTTTAACTATAACCCAATTAGCTCATTCTTCCATATCTTATCTAACTCCTCCCACTGGAAAAATCTAAAGGCTCATTATTTGACCCTTCTTCTGAACTACAGAAGTTTCTAGGCCTGTCCTAGTAAGTAGGAAGTCCAGGGGCCGGAGTTTCAGGCCGGCTCTCACAATGGCTTGCTGTGTGGTCCTGGGTAAGGCACCACCTCAGTGATCCTCAGGGACCTCCCCGGAGGCAAGACCTGACTAGAACAAGGCACCTCCAAGTCCCCTTTGCCCTCAGTAGATGGTGAGCCCCACTAAGAACTGCTGTGCTCTACCTCAAAAGGCTTCCTCTTCCTCAGCTCCCATGGCTTCTATGGGGATGTCCAGCCAACCAGATGGCTTCTATCAGTTCTGGTGCTGGGTGTGGTAACTGCCGGTCCACCAGCTTGCCCCAGCCTTTCCCAAGATGCATATTCTCAGACGCAGCATTTGCAGAAGCACGTAGCCTAGTTTGATTCTAGTTTGACTCTGAGGATTTTCTCTGGGTTCGAAGTATAAAGCATTAGAGGCTGTTTCTCCTTTCCTTTCCTGGCAGAAATCAGGATTTTGGTAGAGAGGCTAAACCTGCTAACCTATTGCTTTCAGGGATCTGGCTGTGAGCTGACATCTCTTGTCTCTGCAGGGGGAGGGCACAGTGACCCTTGCTGCTTGGCTGGACGGCCAGCTGTGTGCACTGAGAGAAAGCAGTGCCAGGGACCCCGCTGTGATGGGTGGATCCCTCTCAGCCAGCGGTTCCCAAATGCTGCTGCACTTTAGAATCACATGAAGAGCTTTTTACAAAATCTAGATGCCCAAGTCATTCCTCATACCAGCTAAATCACATGTCAGAAGAAGACGCCGGCAATAGTTGTAAATCTCCAGATCAAAGGCTACAAACTCTCAGTCATGAGAGTTTGTAAGTTCTGAGGATCTGGGGGACAGCATGATGCCTGCAGTTAAGAATACTGTATTGTGCGCTTGCAGTCTGCTGTGGGAGGAGATCTCCTGTGCTCTCCCCACGCACATGCAAAAGTTAACTATGTGAGGTGATGGATGTGTTCGTCACCTTGATTGTGGTAATCACTGCACAGTGTATATGTATATTAAAACATAATATTGGATACTTTAAATATATACAAATTTATTTGTCAATTATACTTAAATAGGTGGGGGGGAGTTTATGATCCCCAGGTTATTCCAATGCCCAGCGAATTTGGGGGAGCTACTTCTCAGCCTGGCAGCCTCTATTCTTTAGCAGGAGAAACCTCTTCATTCAACACATTTTTCCCCCATTTAGTCATAGAGCAACAATTTTTCATGTAGTCTTAAGTCTGTTTTTGAATTTTTAAAAATACTTCTCACAGGCTCTTGAGTGCGGAACGCATTCCTCCAAGGCAAAGAACAGGTCCTTTTAAGGTGTATGGTTCATGTTCCGTAACAATGAAGGGTTTGAAGGGTTTATATGCGAAGACGCTAGAGACCTGGAAGGAGGAGTTGCTCTCTTACTTACCTGCAATGGCGTGTGGTGACGTGCGTGCACACAGTAAGGGCCGAGCAGGACTTGACTGATTACAGAAACCTGGGTCTTCAATCAGGCCCTGTACTGAGCAATGGTTTCCGTTTTATTCTGGCCAAAGATCCTAGATCAGCACCTTCATTTATTCTTTCTCGAATGCTCTTCTTTTCTTTAAGTAGATCCAAGTTCGTAGCCCGGATCATTTTCCTTCTCTCTGAAGAACTTCTTTGAATGAGTCTTGCAAGGCAGACCTGTTGGCAACACATTTCCTCAGTCATTGCTTGTGTGAGAGAGTATCTCTCCTTCACTTTTGAAGGAGAGTTTTGTTGTGCACAGCAATTTTTACAACACCGACTACATTCTAGACACTCTACTGGACATTGGAAAACTGTCATGAACAGAACAAACAAAAACTCCTGCCTTTGTGGAACTGACATTCTGGTACACACGAGAAGTAAAACAGTATGGCGGAAGGTGGTCAGTGATAAGTGCTATGGGGAAAAAGTAGGTGGGAAGGGAGGTAGACAGTAGGCAGCCAGGGACAGCTTTAAATGGAGCCATCGGGGCCTCAGTGATGTTAGTAGATCTCTAAAGGAGGTGAGAGAGCAAGGCATGCAGAAATTCAGCAATAGAGTATTCCAGGCAGTGGTTGAACAGCACATGCAGAGGTCCTGTGGTGGTCACGTGTCAAGGACGCCTTTGTGGCTGGAGTGTTGTCGAGTTAGTAGGAAAGTAGGAGGAGAGGAGGATGGAGAGGTGATGTGTGACAGGCTGGGAAGGCCTTTTTAAGCTGTCATAAGAACTGTGGCTTATAAAGCGCAATGAGATTCCGCTGAAGAGTTGTAAGCAAAGGAATAACCCAATCTTCATTTTGAAAGGGTCACTGGTGGCCATGGGGAAAAGTGACTAGGAAGGCCAGCATGGAGGGCTGAAGCTCCGAGACATGTGGAGTCTAGAACAGTTCCTCAGATGAGAAATAATGGTGGCTTGTCCCAGGGACATAGCCAGGGAGGTGGTGAAGAGTTTGGACAGTTGCCGAGCTGGCTCGGAGCAGCCCGGAGTGCAGAGGAAGTGCCTAGCCGGGGCTGGGCCCCTGGAAAGGTTCACCCGGAGAGTAGGGGCCCCAGCAGTAGCCAGCTCGCCTTTATGGTGGCAGTTCACCTTCTACTTCTTGACAGTGAGGGGCTGTCAGGTTCCTGGAAGAGGCGGCTGGGGCCAGGGGGGGAGGGCACAGAGCACGTGTTTCTCCTTCCCCAGCTGAATCAACAGACTGTGGTTCTGTCAACCGCTGCCCCCCACGGTGTCACGTGCAGCCTGCAGTCGGCTCCGCCTGGGCTTCCAGTCACTGCTGTGCTGTGGGTGGTTCTGCTCTTACCTAGAGCGCGTGCAAGGGCAGAGGGGCCTTCCGGCTTTCGCTTCTCTGCCAGATGGCGTGCAAAAACTCTACCCTGTGGACAGCCCGATCCTATTTCAGGACCTGTCTCAGGTGGCTGGGGGCCATTGTCCAGCTTTGGGTTTTTCAAGACCTCAGTTACTGGGGAGGAATAAACTGCTCAGTGTCAACCGGTGTTTTGCCAAACACAATCCCTGAAGCAGCAGAGTCCACATTACTGGAGAACTTGTCAGAAGTGCAAATTCTTGGCCCCAACCCTAGATCTTCTGTATCAGAAACTGGGGCAGGTGGGGAAGGGTTACTACCTCTGTTAAAGCCTATGTTTTAACCAACCCTTCCGGCAGTTCTGATGCCTTGAATGAGTACATATGCCAGAGGTGATACCAAAGCAGATGAACACCCTTGCCCCCAGAACTACAGCACTTAAATATCTTCTGAAAGGCCAGGAATGAAAGGAGAGGCAGATACCGCCACCCCTTCCTGCCACCCCTTCCCCAGCTGAGGACAGAGCTCACAAGAGAGAGGGAGGACTCTAGTATTCTGTGAATCTGAACATCAGACACAGAGATGTAATGCAAATACTTTTCCAGCTGTATTTAGAAAAAACTCCTTCCTGGTTGTCCTGGTTCAGCCTAAGGGCTCAGGTGTGGTCCCCCTAAGGGCTCAGGTGTGGTCCCCGCCTCTGAAGAGACCAGAATTCACTCAGGGTGGGCTGGCAGCAGCCAGCCAAAATTCTTTTCCTGAAATGGGTGTCTGTGGAGTGAAATTTGTAGGTCATGTTGACAAGTTAGACAATCCCATGCACAGCATTATCCGTGTGAAAAACTTTTTGGCTTAAAAACATTCTTTAGTGAATAATTTCATGTTTAAAACCGAGAGGTTGTAAAGTGATTTTAAAAGCTTTGGGTCATGGGAAAATTTTAGAGGAAGGATAAGATGTCATTCTTTCTAACCTAATAATGAAGGGCCTTACATATCTAGCTTGTTTGCTTTCTTTAGGTACCTCGGGTCTTTATCGGTAAAGACTGTATAGGCGGATGCTCGGACCTAATGGAAATGCATCAGAGTGGGGAGCTGTTGAAGCGGCTAAAACAGATTGGAGCTCTACAGTAATTATAGGTGAGTGAAGGGTAGCACGCCCAGCCAGAAACGTTGACAGATGGTATAATTCTACTGCTGTGAGTTTTTTAAAATTAAGTTTACTTATTTATTTATTTATTGAGAGAGAGAGAGAGAGAGAGAATGTGCGCATGTGCACCAGAGGAGGGATGGAGAGGAGAGACAGAATCCCAAGCAGACTCAGCGCCATCAGCGCAGAGCCTGCCACGTGGCTCACAGGGGCTCAAACCCACAAACCCTGAGATCATGAGCAGAGTGAGTGGAGATCTAGAGTTCAATGCTTAACTGACTGAGCTACCTAGGCACTCCTGCTATGTTTTATTATAATCCAGAAAGGCACTTTGGCTAGAGAAAGAGTGATGTGGGGTGATTAAAAGAACTGTCATGTCGTTGAGCTTCCCATTTTACAAAGAGATTGTGTCAGTGGGAGGAAATGTTTTCACTCACCCTTCATTTAACAAATACTTGTTGAGCACTTCCTACATGCCAGACACTGTACTAGGTCCTGGGGATATGGTGACAAACAAAAAGATAACATGGAACATATATTCTCGAGAGGTAGACTGACCAAAAACAAATAAGTAAATAATTCCTGAAACAAATTAATAGAATAATATGATAGAATGAGGAAGGAGGTAGGGAGCCAATTTAGCTAATATGGTAAGGGAAGGCCTTTCTCAGCTGGTGGAGCTGAGACCTGGTTGACAAGGAGACAGCCATGGAAAGATAAAGCCAGAAAGCTTTTCAGGCAGCGGGAACAGCAAGTGCAAAGGTCCTGGGGTGACAAAAAGTATGGAATATTCAAGGAGCAGAAAGCAAGGGAGAACAGATTGAGTGAAGTGCAATGAGAAGGAGTAGCAGCAAGAAATGTGGGTGAGGTCAGGGTGCAGAGGCCATGGTAAGGAATTTGATTATTCTACGTGCAATATGAAAGCAAGGGTTTTTTGTTTTTTGGGGGTTTTTTTTTTGGTTTTCGGTTTTGTTTTGCATTATTTATGTCCACACTGAAATTCAGTTCGATCTAATTGCTTCCCAAACATCAAACCAAAGTTTTCTATAGATGTCCCCCAAAGGAGATCATTTGCTGAATGGAAAGCCATAGAGTAACGAACTCTTGAAAAAAGGAACCAGGGTACTTGTGGGGTCTGACAAGCTCCTCTTTCCTCCAGCTCTTGTTACTGTTAACTAGCTGTTAAGGCCACACGGAGAGACTCCTTGGTTTTTGTCAGTCAAAGGAGACTTTGACTAATGTATAGTTCTTGGACTAAATATTCTTTGAGGAGTATTTATTGCCCATTAATTAATAACTTAGACTTGAGCAAATGTACGAATGTAATTTGTGGTGGTTACTCAAAATAGCAACAGAAGTTTTATTTAAAAAGCTCTGGGGTGAGGCGCCTGGGTGGCTCAGTCTGTTGAGCGGCCGACTTCAGCTCAGGTCATGATCTCACAGTTCGTGGGTTTGAGACCGGCGTCAGGCTCTGTGCTGACAGCTAGCTCAGAGCCTGGAGGCTGTTTCAGATTCTGTGTCTCCCTCTCTCTCTGACCACTTCTGCTGTCTCTCTCTCTCTCAGAAATAAAACGTTAAAAATAAATATAAAATAAAAGTTCTGGGGGCACTTGGGTGGCTTAGTCAGTGAAGAGTCCGACTTTGACTCAGGTCATGATCTCGCAGTTTGTGAGTTCAACCCCCATGTCTAGCCCGGAGCCTGCTTCAGATTCTGTGTCTTCTTCCCTCTCTATGTCCCTTCTCTGCTCAGGCTCTGTCTCTCTCTGTCTCTCAATAATGAATAAATGTTAAAAATTAAAAAAAAAAAAAGTTCTGAAAAATGTAATACCTTGAAATAAAGTAGCCAATATCATAAAGCTCCTAATCACAATTCTACCACATCACCACAGCCAGTGAACACTCCGTCTGTTTGTTAGTTTTCTGGCCTCACCCTGTGTACCAAAGCACTCAAAACCCGGTTAACTGTGCTGCTACATGTATCCTATTCTGGAACACTTTTCAAAAATGTAGGCTTAGATTAAAAAAATAGAAGAGGGGCGCCTGGGTGGCTCAGTTGGTTAAGTGTCCGACTTCAGCTCAGGTCGTGGTGTCGCGTTTGTGGGTTCGAGCCCCACATCGGGCTCTGTGCTGACAGCTGGCTCGGAGCCTGGAGCCTGTTTCAGATTTTGTGTCTCCCCCTCTCTATCTGACCTTCCCCTGCTCACGCTTTCTCTCTCTCTCTCTCAGAAATAAATAAAACATTAAAAAATTTTTTTAAAAAATAGAAGAAAAATAATGATTTTTCTGGGGGAGATAGGAAAGATGACTGACTACCCCAGCTACATCTGTGTTGGGGTGGGGATTCGAGTCCCCCTTATCCACAAAGTTTCTTTATTTGCATTGTCCTTCAGCATTATATGATCTCAGCATTTTGCTGCCAGCTGCATCTCAAGGCCATCTGTAAGAGCTTCGCTTAAATAGCAAGAGTAAATGTTCTGGTAATGAAAGAATAATGAGTGAGATTTACCTTTCCAAGGAAATCCACTTCTTTGTGTTTTGTGTTTCTGGCAGGGCAGACCCCAGGATGATATTCCCCTTGACAGCTGGATGGCATTTCAAATGAAGACCACACTTCCTGGCGGATGGATCTGGGGCTAACAGCCACAGCAACTGTTTGCTTAAAATTCTGAAATGTGTTCACCAAAAAAAAGGGGGAGGGTGAATTTTTTTTTTTTTTTTTGGCAAAAACAGTTTTTCCTTCTTTTGACTCCATATTAAAAGCAGACCAACTTGCCCCAAACCACAGGTCTGAGAAAGTTGAAGGACATCTTGAGTTTCTTCTCCATTGGCCCTTTGGGTTCCAAAAGACCATGACAAGTTATGACTTAGGATTCACTCAACCCAAAAGACGTTCTTTCTCTTGGGCACATGTCTCTTACTGTTCTCCATATGCTAGGACCCCTCGACCTCTAAGCCCGTGTTTCTCAACCAAGATTACTCCAAGTCCCCTAGGATGAATCTATAATTGGTTTCCTGCTATTGCCTCAAAGTTACTTTGTTGAGTTTAACTCGACAGAATTTACATTATGAAAACAATAAGTATTTGGAATGTTCTTTTTCAAGTTATATGTGTCTCCCCAGTCATCCCCATCCCACCCCATCCTATTTTGGGAATCACTGCTTTGAATCCATGTTCTTAACCCTGACAACTCACAAATCTCCTAGAAAATGTTCAACAATTCTGTGAAGGGTCTTAAGGACCCAACTTGGGAAATGCCATGTGAAACATTAAGCACAGTTGCCATTGCTGCAGGGATCAGAGCTATCAGTATAGCAGCTGCAATCATGGGGGTCCTCAGTTGTGTAAGATGGTCATCCAGGCAATCCGGAAGAACCATGTATTAACTGGCCTAGGTTATCGAACAGAAGTCAAATGCAGCATTTAAAATGTTATCACAGAAAACTTGCAAACCCCTTCCCCAAAAGTATGTCTGTAAAAGGGGCCAAATTTGAGAAACATGGTCCTAAATGATGGTCTCTCCCTCCTTTTTTCTTCACTCTGAAAACTGTACAGTTCTTTATTGTGAAGTTTGATCTAGAACTGCAGTATTAATTTCCTTCTGTGGTCTCTAGTGGGTATGGTTAATTTCTTTTCTAATAAATACCCAGAGGTGACAGTGATTTTTTTGCCTAATTCTTTTCTATGTTCCTAGTACCTTAAGGAATGGTATTAATGTAAAAGACAGCAAATTAAAACTTGATTCATGTTTGTTCCCAACCATTATAAATAAAGGCACATGCTATTGTCCTTCATTAAGTACAAATGGTTGATGTGATTTTTAAATTTCACATTGAAATGACAAATCGTTTGAATATATCAACACTAACCTATTGAATAATGTTTCGAATTCAAAAACAGTCTTTTTCATTTCACATTCTCTTTTTCCATTTCTTACCTAATACCTTTCAACCAGATTGCTGTGCATGATTGTGCAGGTTACACACTGCACAACACGGTAAATACCCCTTGGAGATTGTGTAGTATTCAACTTGCATTCTGCGATCCACTGCAGACCATTTGCCCACACTTTCTTTCATACTTCATCCTGAGATGCCCTTTTCTTCACCTTTGATTTATTTTCAAATTTCTCCTTCAAAGTCTGATTTACAGACCATCTCCCCTGCACATACCCTCTCTTCTCACTGCTTTTTGACTGTAAAAAGCTATTACTCTCCTGTATACCAAAGCACTATGAATATAAGTACCTCAAAATTCTCATTGGGTTGAATCGCAGTTAACCCTCTATATTTGTCTTATGAGATTCAGAAATACCCAAAGGGTTTCAACTTAAACATCTTTGTATGCCTGGACTCTAGCACGGAAGATCTATTTTATCAAAGCAATACATGCATGAGGTTTAAAATCTCAAATGATACTGGGGACACTTGGGTGGCTCAGTTGGTTAAGTGTCCAACTCTGAATTTCAGCTCAGGTTATGATCTCACAGTTCATGGGATTGAGCCCTGCATTGGGATCTGCACTGACATTGAAGAGTCTGGTTGGGATTCTCTGTCTCTATCTCTGCCCATCCTCACCTTTCTCTTTCTCCCTCTCAAAATAGGTAAGCTTAAAAAAAGTCCATACTGAAAGTACTCCCGACTCCACCCATCTCACCACACATTTATCAGTTTCATTTAAGCCTATCTAGAAATACTGTAAGACCTATTAGACATATATAAGAGTGTCTAGAATGCATAGCTCTGTTTAAATTAACAGCCATGAATCTGCCTCCTAGGTTAAGAAATAAAGTGCCTATCAGAGAGTACTTCTAAGGTACTGATAAAACACCAGAGAGGCCCATGTGTCCCTTCCCAAAATACACCCTTCCCCCCTCTACAGAGGTAATCACTAGCTCACTTTTGTTGTAATTGTTTTGATGCCTTCCTATGGTTTTCCTCCCTAAATATCCCTAAGTGACACATTTTAGTTTTGAAAAGCGGTAACAAACACAGACCCCAGCTGTGTAAGGCAAGGGCAATATTATCATAATCAGGTGAATGGCCCCAGGAGAAGATGAGCTGAATAGAGACTCCGGGTCCTAGACTGGCTTCAGCTTCCCTAGGAGTTTAGCAGAGGGGTGCCGCCTGAACACAGGGCACCTCATGGTCAGGAAAGCTAGTGTGTGAACAAATACTAGGCATCCTCCAGAAATAGAGTCAATGGAAGGGGTCTGCTCTGCCTTCTCTCCTTCGGAGGCCCAACTCCAGTTGTCAGGAGCAGGTCGAAGCACACCACCTCAATGGGAGTGAGTCATGCCTGTGCCCCCTCTGCTAGCCAAGTGTGTGGTCTGAAGAACAGAAATGTCATCAGCACAAGGCAAGCTGAGTACAGATAAGGATCTGCTTCAGGCTCATTTGGGCACTCTGTGCTCAAGTTAGAAAAAAAAAAAAAAAAGGATACAAACCAGAGAGCCACGAAATGGATAATTATACTGCTCTGGTCTGGGCTGGCTGCCCTATATATCTGGGCACAGCTCTCTCCCCGGTGAAGGAAAGATCTCCTTCACTGTCATTCTGGGTACTCTGTTTCTCTCCTGAGAGGACCTCCTATTTCTCACTCCCCATACATACTTGTTACAGCTAAGCTGCTTTAACAAAGACGTAATATTATGATAGAGGCTTGTTTCTCTCTCTCATGACAGTCAAGAGGCAGGCAGGTGGCTTTACTCCACAAAGTAACAACTAACCAAAGGTCGAATGCACCACTTCTGCTCACATTCTTTCTTTGGTCAGAACTTGGTCTATGGTCCCAGTTAGCTGGAGGGGAGGCCAAAGAGTGGTGTCCCCACTGGGAAACTCCTTGGCCAGTTATAATTCAGAGAGGTCTACACCAAAAGAAAGAAGGGGAGAATGGATATAAAAGGAAAGTTAGAAGAGCGTGTCTTTCTTTTTTTCGTCTTCTTTTTTATTTGGAAAGGCCATATATCCTCCATGGATTTTAAGAAAGAAAATGGGAAGTAAAGTTTGTAAAACCTTGCTTGGCCAACACTGTTTTTATCATACCCTTATATTTGATTGATAGTTCATCTGGCTATAGCTGCTACTTGGAAATCATTTTCCTCCAAAAGTGTGAAGACACTGCTCATTGTCTAATGCTTTTGGTGCTGCTGTTAAGAAGTTAGAAGTCAATCTGATTCTTGAACCTTTATAGATGCCTGTTTCGTTTTCTTATTTGTTCTGTACTTTGGAAGCTTATAAAATCTTCCCTGTAAGCCCTGTGCTCTGAAATATCACGGTGATATGCCTTGGTAAGGGTATTTTATCTTCATTCATTTTGGGGGCTACTTGCAGGTTTGGAGGGTCCATCTGCAATTTTATTGGATTATTTCATGGATACTTACCCCCCCCTCCCCTCCATTTTCTCTGTATTTTCTTTCTGGAACTCCTAGTAGTTGAATATTGACCTTCCTGGACTGGTCCTTTAATTTTTGTTATAGTTTTTTTTTTTCCTCTGAGGGATTTTACTCATCTTTATCTTATTTTTCTATTAATTTTTCTGTTCAGTTTTAATTTCTGATATCATGTTTTTAATTGTCAATAGCTCTTCAGTATTGTCTGAATGTTTCTTTTTTATAGAGTTGTTTTTGTTTCACAAATGCAATATCTTATCTCTCTGAGGTTATTGCCGTTTTTTAAAACATTTTTACTGAACTTTTTCCAGCTATGAGTTTTTTCTTATTTCCCAGAGTTCTTTCTTGTTCTTAGTTGTGTTTGTTTTTTATTTTTCCTCTGTTCTTGTTTATGAATGCAAACACTTTTTTAATCTCTCAAAGATACCATTTATAGTTGTGGCTTATTTATTTATCTATTTATTTATTCATTTATTTATTTATTGAGAGACAGTGTGAGCTGGGAGGGGCAGAAGGAGGGAGAGAGAGAGAGAGAGAGAGAGGGAGGGAGAAAAAGAGAGAGGGAGAGGGAATCTTAAGCAGGCTCCATACCCAGCATGGAGCCCAATGTAGGTCTACATCTTACAACTATGAGATCATGACCTGAGCTGAAATCCAGAGTTGGACACTTAACCAACTGAGCCACCCAGGTGCCCCCAGTTGGGGCTTTTTTAAAAGCTGCCTTCTGATTCTAATGTTGTATCTTTTTCTCTCTGAGTCCCTATTTCCCGTTTCTGCTTTATATTTGAAGGCCATTCAATGTTCTGCTCTGAACAGGTGACATCTGGTCATCTGCACATATTTAAGAATGAGACCCAAAAAACTGGTTAGACGATTTGTGTGCACAGATTGGGCTCGTCAACTGATGACCTTCACCACAGTCTTTGTTTAAATAATACCTTCTCAACAAGGTATCTGACCAACACCCTATTTAGAATTTCACATGGCATTCCTTATCCTTCTTCCTTGTTTTGTTTTTCTTTAAAGCATTCATCCTCTAGTATATTGTATAATTTATTTTGTTTACAGTCTGTCTTCACTAAAATGTAAGCCTCTTGATGCCAGGAAATTGTGTCTGTTGATTTACTGCTCTATCTACAGCATTGAGAAAACTGGCTGTACATAGTGAGCATTTGATAAATATCTGTCAGATGTTTGGATGAATGCATTAATGAATGAATGACTCCATCAATCAATCAATCAATGATCATGTGCAGAGCTCTCAATGGTTAGTTCCTGGGTGTTTTTCTTTTAAGCCGTTCATTTTCCCCAGTGTCACAGCTGGGGCGTCAGGTCTTGCGGCCAGGTGCTGGCTGCCCAGCAGGGGAAAGGCATTTGGCAGTTCCTGGGCCAGTGTGCAGTGTCTCATGTCCTCTCCTAGTTTCCGTCAGCTCCTGGCTGAGTAATTCTGTGTGATACATAGGGAGAAAAAGGACTATCATCCAAAGGGCACTGAGACGTTGGTACAAGAGGTTGGCAAAGAAGGCAACAAGAATAACCAAGCAAAAAAATCAGAGTCAAAGCTCTACTCCTTCTGTTTACTTTAAAAAGAAAGTGATTCAACCCCCTGCACATGTCTCATGATGGCCTTCGGTCTGCTGCTTCCAGCCTGGCCCCTGGACAGGGACATCTAAGAGCCATTCTTCCAAATTCCAGGGCTGTTCAAAGATGGCCCTTATGGGGAGACAACTCACAGGGTGATAAATGGGTCTTCATGGCCCAGACCACACTATTTATATCCCCAGTGAATATTATTAGGCCATTATCTTAACATCTGGTTGTAAGAGAAAGCCATGCACTCTGATTCCCTGTGCCACAACAACTGTTAGCAGATCCTGGGATATATGTTAAAGAACCAGGTTCCTGAAACATTTTAAGTAAAATTTCTTCCCTTTCTTATTAGTAGCAGTCTTTTCTTATTAAGTACATTAAATATTTGAAAGACTAGAATTCAATCTTGCTAATTAACGGGAGAGAATTCTAGCCTGGTCCCTTTAAACACAGGTGATATTTAAACTCAGGTCTATATTTACACACAGATTTCTATTTTCTGTCCTCAGGGGATTTTTCTGGAGAGCTGTGCAGAGCTGAGTGGGAAGAGGAGAAGAAGGGGTGTTAGGAGAGCCAATGAAAGCGCAGAGCTTCGTGTCACCTCTGGGGTTGTCCCTAGTGCAGGCAGGGGATTCTTTATGGCTCTTCCTGCCCACTCAAGGCCCTCTCCTTGCTAGCAGGGTCAAAGTAGCCTCTGTGTGCCTGTAGCTGAGCTCACTCGGGAGAGAGAACCGCCTTCTCAATTTTCTCTTGTGTGCCTCGTGAGGCTTGAAACACTTTATACATAAAATTAAAAGTTGTTTTTAAGGTGGAGATTTCC